GATTAAACTGACTTGTTTCCATTTTTATTTATTTGTTTGGGTTTGCACAATGTTCTTTAGGTTTATAAACAACCACCACAAGAGCTCCTGATACACAAAAATGCTGGGTCAATTATTTATATTCAGTCATTAAATTAGCAATATAGTGTATCAAAATGTCCATATCAGTCAGATGTGGAGATATGTTTTTAGGGATTTGAGGACAGGTTAATCCCTTGTCATCACCTCACAGAGACTGTAGCCTAAACTATATTTTCATACATCATTGCTAAGCCACTGAATTAGATAAAACAACACCACATTACATAATTGTCAAATAAAATGTAATTTTCTGTTCTCGCTGTATGCATGCTTGCTTTCGCCCACACAATGCACTCTGAGTTTCTGGTTTGCTCTCCCTCAGACTGTCTTGTTAGACGAGTGAGATTTTGTTAAAACGTTATATACTGTTTTGTATAGGGTGTTTGGAGTCTTTACTGTTGCACTGTACCTGCACTATAATTGTATTTAAATGTAGTTACATTTAATTTAGACAAATTTAATTGTTTTTAACTGTTTTTAAATGCTGTTTCCATGCATTCCATTAATGTATGCACAACACTTTAAATTGCCTCCTTTAGTAAAAAGTGCTGCACAATTAAATATTCTTTGTCTATATATTTTGTTTTTATTTTGTGTAAACATGCAAGAGCTGCTGTATAAACTCAGTAATTGTCATTGCCTAATCTCAGGAGGAAAGTAGTTTTTTCCCCAATGTTTTAATATTTGAATATTGATAAATTATCACTGAAAAACAACACTGAATTAAGACCAGAATCCAACAGAAACACCTGTATATGACAGTTAATTAATGTGCTAACTGCATTTCACCACGGTTGGGAGGAGGCTGTGATGCCAGGTGTGATGACATGTGGAGAGCCGTTTAGATTAACTGCCAACATGGGTTTAACCTGCCTCACGGTGTTGTTTATAAGGACTATAAAGAGGACTAGGAGCCAGCAATAAATACAGAGAGAGTAGTTTGAAATACACTTCAATAAGAAATTGATTTCAGTAACCTGCAGCAGGCAAGTCAGCTGACTCTGAGCCGATGATGGCTGAACTCTATAAGTTCAAGTTAAAGTCAACGCTAAATGTCAGGCTACTTTAAAACACATACACACACACACACACGCAGCCATCACTATGGACGCTGACATAGACCAGATGGCATCAATAGCCTAAAGGTTTGTCCTGCCTCTGTGACCTACCAAGATACACACGACGATTGAGATGGATGTCGTGCGTGTGCATGTGTGAGTTCCTATGCATAATGTGAAAACACACAATTGTTCATTTCTATTAACCTTCATTCAACTAAGACGCCTTTAAGGATTAAATAGAACCCTGGCAAGAGATTTTGCGTTCTAAAATTACAAACAGCAGGAGGGCAGCCAAGGTGTCGCGGTTGGGAAAGAGAACTGCAAACATCGCTGGTGCCAAAACACAGTCTTTGCTGCCTTTAACACTATCACAAAGGATGATCTTGGAAAGATTTCATTGTTCACCCAACAGATGACCATGATTGTATGCCTGTGAGTAAGTTCCTTAAAATCCTCTTCAAGAATAAAGAAACAACAACTGATGAGTCACCTTTGCCAAGATAGGGCACTGTGATTCAACAAAATGCTTACAGGCGAAGTAACTCAGGTGGCCCACATTCAGCTCCCTTTGAAGACGGGATTCTTTGTTCCTGCAGCTGCTTGCAATGAAACACCAAAACAAGTAGCAGAAAATATGAGATGTTCAAGATCACAGACTGTAAGAAATAGTTATCTGGTACCCAGTGGAGCAACTACAAGCGAACTGCTAGAGGGGCTATACAACAATCTGACGTGGGTCCAAAGTTATGAAATGAGCATAGATGAGCACAGATAATGTTTTATCACTGCAAAAACACCACAACAAACACACTTATACAGATATTGTGAACCTGGCAGGAGTTTCCGAAATCATGTAACATTCAGAGTAAAACATATTTTAGACCAAACCTAAGGCATATAGAAAATGTATGATGTCTAATAGCATGCTGACAAGTTTTGATTGGAAGGTTTAAACACATAATCTCAACTAAATCTTGAAACTATGGACTAAGAGACATCATAAACACTACGCAGAACTTCGATTCTGTTTTTGTGCATGTACATTTATTAGTACTGATATTTTTCTGATTTGTATTGTTTGATTTGTATAAGCACATCTGGGAAAGAGGTTTCTTGTGAATTGTGTGCATCTATCTCTCCAGTAAAGTTGGCCGTAAGGTGGCACAGTCATTACTTTTTTTCCTGTTATTTCTGAGCATTTGATAAACAAAAACATCTACTATACTTCAGTAAATGAAATTCCAATTACTAAAACTGGTTTAAAAACATATTTTTTTTTCTAATTCTTTAGCCTTGGTGCTGCCTGAAACCTCTTTCAGGGCACCTAAAATTCCAGGAAAAACTGTGTGGGTAGAAACATAGTGCATTGATTTTGATTCAATTCATGTGACTTAAACTATCCCACTTAAAAAAACAACATGACATCTAAGAAAGAGTCTATTATTATCAAATTCCAAGTAAAGAGTTGACCTGACACAAGGCAACAGTAGGTTCTATTGACTTTTATGCAATGATAAAACCAGAACTTTATGGGGAAAAAAACATCTGAAGGACAGTGCAAAAAGTAATTTTGAAGATTTAATATCAATGACATTTTGTTTTTGTTTTCATTTTAGTTCCAATGTTATTCTTATGCTCTTTTCTTAACGCTTAGATAACTAACCTCAAAGGCTTGTTTATGAAGGACATTTTAACACGCAAAGTAGAAAAAGCACAGCTCTACCTCATAAAATGAACAAATTCCATTAAGCTGCTTCAGATTGAGGATCCTGTCACAGCGTGGTGACACTTAAAAAACAAAACAAACAAAAAACAAAAACGTCACCATCATTAATCTTATTACCAACTTCTGTGCTACTGCTATGACATGTAAGAGGCCTATTACAACATAACTTTGGCAGCACCCACCATGTAAATGCCCACACAGTAGTGATTTTAAGCACTTGAAACCGTAAAATTGTTTGATATCATAAAATTTTAACCGCACCGACAGATCTACACCATAGACTGAAATGCCTGCAACCTTTAGCATGTTTGCTTCATCTCTAGAAAGTGGGCACACTCCTGTTGTTTACTTCCAGCATGTCCCTGCAAACACAGCTTGCAGGGACATGCTGCTGCAGCGACTAATGTAATATGTCAGGCTGAACTACTGGTGCGCTGCAGCTTTTTTTTTTTTCTCTCCCAGCAATCAATTTATGGGATTTTTTGCTGTGTCAGACAGGTAGAGATATACAGAAGGAGACAGGATAGGAGCATGTGTCTGTGAAGTACAACAGTAAAGGCTACGTGGATGGATATATTATAAAATTGGAGTGTCTCACATGAACAGTGTGGCTAATCTAAGAATCACTGAACAGGACACATAACTTTTAGTTACTCAATAAGTGCAGTGTGCTTTGGATTTACGGTTAAAAATGATATTCGCTATCCATAAATAACCACCCTGCTTAGTTTTGCCTTTGACATTTTCAAAAATCCATGGAAAGGATGGAAATTTCTTGATGGAAACTATAAACAGAGAGCATTGTGTAACTGACTCCTGCAGTCTGGTGCAAAGCCAGAGATCAAAGCAAACTGGATTTACAATATGGAGAACCATGTCATTATTATTCAGCATTAACTTTGCTGTTGAGAACTGCACTGGCGACATTCAAATCTGATTCCCTCTCAAAGTAAACGTGAAATGCAGGATATCCCCCACTGCACAGCAAAAAAAAAATTTGAAAAAAGTGGGCAGTGCTGCACTCCAGCCCATGTGCTGTTACAGTCGGCTGAGCAGTGGGATAACCAGGTTGAGACACTTTAACATCATTCCCACATTTTCCTGGTAATCATTATTCTATTAGTTCCAGATGGGAGGCAACCAGAGCAAATGATGCCCAGAATATGTGCAGTACTGCCATGCTCTGCTGCTCCTGCCCAACAGATCCATCATGCTAATACGCGACGTGTCATTTCCTGAGGGTTGGGGGAATACAGCAGCAACACGGGGGATCTCAATGAAAGGAAGACGACACGCCGAGGCATCATCACCTCCCATTCAGTGCACACACTCGACCGCACAGACGCGCACGCACACTCCGCATTTCTACGATGCACTTTGCAAATCCTGCACACGTTTTGTGACAGCAGAATAGAGTGTGCATGTCCACACACGCAGCAGCACGATCAATCCACCTTTTACCATCACAATTAAAACGTGTTGCACACCCTTTCACGGCAAACCGCTGCCGTTTACAACTACTGTTCCCGCCTCCTAAAATACGTGAAGCCAAAATATTTTCCATGCAGCTCATAATAAAACAAAATCTCCAGCCAAGGCAACTTCCTATTGCAGCACAACTACTCGAAATTCAAAGCTCGTCCAGGCTAACTAGCTGGCTAGCTCTGCTCCCAAACAAAGCTCCCATTGTCTGGAACTTGTAGTTTTACCGTTTTCTCTTGGCCCTCACAACTGTGATTAACTCAGGTACGAAAAACTACAAATCCGAAGTCTGCAGAGCTCTAAGAGCATGCGCACTGGAACCCTAATTATCAGGATGGTTGTAGAATATTTTGTAGTTAATGCATTTTAGCGGGTAGCGCCACATTTAAGCCTGTATATGTACTCTGCTGAATGGCCGGAAGTCGAAAGGGAGTTGAGAACCAGTGTGAGTCGCTCCAGGTGGGACAGAGACGAAGGGCAGAGCCGTAGTAAAGACGCTGCTCTCTGCATTGACTGAAGTTGGTCGCTCGGCTGCCGCTCGGTGTTTGCTCGGTAACGTTTAGTTCACTCGTCACTTTTCAGCGCTTTATAGTAACCTCCACTGCTCAACTAAAACTGCTCAGAGAGAACAAAAAGAGCTCACAGCTTACCTAACGCTGCTCCGGCGGCTCCTCTCGGCTCCTACTCCGTTAAAATAATTCTCCAGACACTGTGGAAACAGCCGACGGTCGGCTGCCTGTTCACCGAGAGAGACGTTGCCAAGAATGCTCAACCGAAACCACGGCGAAGCTGCGCCCGCATGCTCACTGCGCTTGCGCGGCTCCGACTGCTGCAACCTACTGATAGTAACACACAGAGGGCGCTGCTGTGGACACACACTCACTGTACAACAAGGTACAGTAGACAAATATGCAAACACATGCAGTCTGTAGGACACACACATAGAGGAGTCTGAATGATGTGGGCGTCCGAATATTTCATAATTAGCCCCGCATCGCAGTAGTTTATTTCCTTAGAAAACAGTCAAATGTCAACTATTCACTAAATGTTTTTGTTAAACTATACTCTGACACATAAACACAAAAAACATGATAACAAACGTGATATATTTATCACATCAAAGAGGGAAGAAAGCATTTGTTTAAAAACAAAAACCAGTTGTTTAAAGAGAAACAGACAATACCTGAAAGAAAACTACAAAACATCCTCACATAAAAATAAACTTTGAGATCAGGCTTTTAAGATGACACTGATCTACTCTAAGAAAAGTATTGGTTCCTCAGAATCCTCTCTGGTTCTCCAAAATGCCATCCTCAACTGAAGAACCTGTTTATTTAGGGTCTGGTCCTTTATGTACTTTAAGTGTTTTTTTAAAGTACTGAAAGTTCTTCATTTTTATTGGAGTTATTTAGTTTAATGACAGGTAATAGCATGAAATCATTGCTGCAGCTAATTAGTATTTTTATAATTAAATAATCTGCAGATTATTTTCTCAATTAATTGATTAATTGTCAGAACAACACTTTTCATAACTTCCCAAATTGACATCTTGCAACATGTTGTTCTGTCCTACCAACAGGCCAAAACCCAAAATATCAAAAGTATTATGATGGAAGAGACCCATTAATGGTGCAAATCATCATTGTTATTTTTAAAAACTTTTCACTCCGTTACTAAAAAAAAAAACTTCATAATAGAACTAGAACTGTCTTGAAAACGATTCCTTAAAGAACCTATTTTTGCTAAAGTTCTTTTGAGTGCCATTTAAAGGAACCAGCTTTGGAACTTTTTTGGGAAACATTCTTTGAGACACCTTTGGAGGCTCTTTAAGGAACTGTTTGGAGAAATGTTTCTTTAAAGAATCTCCTTTCTAACAGGCCCTTTGCAAAAGTAAAAATGGTTCTTCTATGGCATCACTGCGGAAAAAAATTTCGGTTCCAGTTATGGCCCTTATTTTTCTGAGAGTACAACCGAAGGCATCTGTTAAAAAAACAAACCTTACTGATAACATTGCGATAGCAATGTTATAGTAATTAAAATTATGGCCAAGTTCAACGTCCAAACCACAGACAGCTAGAGATAAAATGTGTCACAACTTGTACTGCATGAACCGCAGTCACAAGCAGAAAAGGATATAGGGAAAAAAATACAATTCCCAATAAAGCTGTGACTCATATTGCAATTGCACAATATGCAGATATTTTTTTTTAATACTAATCAGTTTTACTCATGCAGAATGGCTTTAAATATACAGTAGGCTCCTGTGTCAAAGTTTCAGCATTTTATATGCTTACAGCCTTATTTATCACCAGTAGCACCAGAGAGGAATCTGATCCATCCCGTATTTACTCTGCAGAAAGACAACAGTGCCAAAAATACAGCCAAAATCATAAACAACTATCTTTAATTAAAAAGAGAACAAGAAGTCCTTCAACAGATGAGGAGGCCTTCACATAGTCCTGATCTCAATGCTAATAACGCTTAGATTTATTTGAGTGTAATTAATTGTTTATTGATGCAAAAAAATGTGTAAATGCCTTCAATGTTGCACCTGAAAATGATGAGCTTTTTAAAAAAAATTCTACATACTGCTGGGTTGCTTGTATAATTAGTCTGCAAGGATCAACATAATAGTCTTAATCTATAATGATTTCTAATTTATTAGTTGCTTCTGCGTTCAATGATTAATCTTCATCTACAAAGTAACAAGTAGCTGAAGTTATCAAATACATGTAGTCAAGTTAAAGTACAACATTTGGCTTTGAATCAGTGGAGCAGAAAGTAGGAGGATGGAAAGACTCAAGTAGAAGTCTCTCAAAATAGTATTGTTTTTGAGTAAATGTACTGTTCCATCACTGGACCGAGCTGTGTTTCACTGTAAATAGTCTACATCTGAGTGTAGAAAACAGTACATCTTCTGTCCAGGCTACAGTTTGGTTGTGCATCATTCACAAATTGGTCAATAGCACAACCTTGTGGTTCCTCAGCAGAAGCCGATGTCAGTTTGTGTTTCACAAATTAATCTCCAAAGAAATTTTTAATGTTTTACAATTGTTATGTAATACATGTTGAGGTTTAGGTAACTGTTAAATATCCCCAACATGCAAATCCATTGGTTTTTGGTTGTTATGTTTTTATTCTGTCAATATCTCCATTTTTATTTTATTCAGTTATGTTTTCGGAAATACCAGCTGAAAAGAGCAGAAAATTACAATAAAATGAAATCAAGTACAGTATGCTACACAACAAATTTGAATTTCATTACTGTCTTATTTATTTTATTTTTTTGTTATATTTTCTTAACTAGCCCTGCGATAGACTGGCGACCTGTCCAGGGTGTCCCCTGCCTTCACTTTGAGTCAGCTGGGATAGACTCCAGCCCCCCCACGACCCTAGTGAGGATTAAGCGGTGTATAGATAATGGATGGATGGATGTTTTCTTAACTGATTATGATTATATTTTCATACAAAAAGAAAAAGAAAAACAGTGAACACAAGGTTAATAACCACAAATCTAAAGAAAATGAAGTCAGTAAGACTGCTTTACACTTGTCTCATAAATGTTTAGCAGATGTTTTTAGTACATGAACCCAGTTTCATTAAATTGAATCAGCCTATTTTTTTTTAGGAACAAGTTCTTTGGCCACCTGCCTTGTTAAGTAAACTAATAAAATGAACAGAGAGAATGCTACAATTGCTTTGACACTGACAAAGTAATGTAGTATCACAGTGTAACTTTGCTGCTACATGAACTGCTTCAAGTTCTGTACAGAAATTGAATTTTGTACATTTGTACACTACACGTTTTATGTACTGCAACATACTGCAGACTTACTATGGACTGTCACTCAGAATGTGTATTTTTCTGTAGCCAAAAAGTATATATAATATAAATATCTCTGCTGTGTGGCAGCCGCACTGGTTATGGTAGCTGCCATATAGAAAACTCTCTAATCAGCAGGCCAAAGCATTCAGCCTGTTCATGGCACACATCCTGATATCCAGCAGCTGAATTTGAGTTGGCAGAATGATCCAGAGATCAGAGTATCTGCCTCACAGCAGTGAAGTACCAGCCCTGACATCCACCTTAGTCCTTTAAAAAGTTTAGGCAGCAATGAAGTTGAAAGCAGGAGAGTAAAGGAAGTGGCTTCTTAAAACATCTGAAAATAAAATGGAAAAAGATGCACTGAAGCTAGGAAACTGTTGAAAACATTATATCTTAGTATGTTAAATGATGCCCATATTTCTGAAAATGTACACCATGCTGAACCTCTTGTAAAGACTTTGTGTTGCACTAGTTACACACCAGGGGTCAGCATAGCTTAAAAATTGATGGCCGTGAATTTCATTGTCCTAATAACCCAGTGATTGACTGCATTCGAAATTGTAATGAAATTCTGATATGTCATTACATTTTAGATAAAATCATCGTTCTTCATTTACTATGCTCTGCATTTTAATTTCAGATGGGATGGGTAACACATTAGAATACACGATTTTGCATAAATCAGATCCCAAATATTTAGCAGTTGCCATAATAGTTACATTTACACATGTAGAGAAAAGAAAACAAGACAATGGGAAATAAATGAGTTACAACTGGGCATGTTGAAGGAGTATATTGCAAATACAGGGTGCAGTATAAGCAACTAGAAGCTATACAGTGTTAATGTGTAATGTGTATGTATTTCACAATTCTGACCTGCCATAAAAAACAAATAAATATAGATTCCCTTTTTTCAAATACATGAACCTCAAACTGCTGCACTCTGTCATCCCATTCTAGCCTGTTACAATGTATTGCATTATTGTAGTGCAATGCAGATATTGCACTAGGACAATGATAAGACGATGTCTATCAGTGTAGGATTAATGACATTTCTCGTCACTGATACTCCTCCTTTTCCTACTTATTGTAATATTGATGATTATTCAATTATATCAGCTGCCACAATGATGTAGGTCAGCAGTAGAGCTCATGGACACTACATTACCCACAGTGCACCGGCGCACCTCCAGCACAGCCCAGCCTCGTTCCAACAGACTGCAGCGTCCTCCTCTCCGCCCTGCACGCCGAGCTGCGCCCTGATCTGCGCACATGCGGACGGTGCGCAGGGGCGTTGACCGCACCGTGCGCACTCTCCCATCCGCATGGTTAGAAGATCATCGGCAGAAGAGGCGCCCACTTCCCCGTATGTAAACGGCACCCCGGTGTGTTGGGATGCAAAGTCAAGTCAGCCCACAGCCTTGACAGCTCGGGAAGCTCGAACTGTTACGTGTTTTTGGAAGGAAAAGCCTGTTTGGATACGATGGAGCTCCGGACAGCTGGCTGAGCAGCACCGACTGGGACTGCCGGGAGCCGTTTAATCTGTCGCCAGAACTGGGTTACACGGACCTTAATGGTCTCCCCTCCTTCTTTACTTGGATGCAAACCGAACGCCCATGCGACGATGTCAGTGGATGTTGCTGCCCTCAGACTCCAGGTTAGGTTACAGTAAACGATAAGTGTTTACGTATTTAAATATTCGGGCGGAAGACGCACGCAGCGACTGGATACAAAGATACATTTTGCGCGCGTAATAGC